TCAGTTTTCAAGTAAATCTCTCATCCCTTTCCATTATGTTTGACTAGGATCTGGTTGATTATTTAATTCTTTTCTAATGCATATTATCTTTCCTTTTCTACCAAGGTACACATTCTTTTGGATTCTGGTTCTATCAGTCAAATTTTGTTTCAGCTACAGTTTTGAGGTGAGTAATGAGAGAACTAATCCATACCATGTGGTAGAGATCTTAACGTGACTAAATATGTAAATTACTAATGAACATCATATGCAGTATTTTCTTTTTCTTAAGGTCACCCAGATTTTTCAAACCAAGCTTTGAGATTGATCTGTTGCATTAATGCCTAGATGAGATGGCTCACCGCCTCAAGCATACTGAAGGACTGATTTTTAGGATAAAAATGATATATATTTTCTGTTTAAAAGAAAAGTTAGATTGCAAATACACTGGAAACACTTTAAATTTAAAATGGATTTAGTTTTTAAAATAGATTATTCTTTTTTATATATATGAATGAAAGTCTTTAAATCTCTATTAATTATTGAAACTGCAACTTACGTTGTCAAATTTTCTACATATGCTTTAAAACTTAATTATACCATACATCTAGTATGGATTGGTATCTGTGTAAACTGTGGTATCCATATATTTCATTGTGGCTTCTTCTTATGCGAATTTAAAGCTATTTTCCTTGACATATATTTGTTTAGTTAAAAACAAAAAGAAATTGGAAGATGGAAATATAAATGATCTAATTCAAAACTTTTGTTTGGAGAATTAATGTCCCAACAGTTAGATCAGCAGATTGAAAAGATACCATATTTTCCTGGCTTAAATGATGTTTAGAAATGTGGACATCTCATTGAATATTCCTGCCAATTGGAAAATGCAGATAAAACCACTCATAGAACCAACTAGACTAATCATGAAAATTGGTGTGCAAAGTTATGATTGGCATGAGCTTTTCCCTAAAGGTATTTGCCAGTTTTTTTAAACAATTTGGTATTGTTAGGAGATGAGTGTTTCTTTATTTTTTTTGTGTACTGCATTAACGTAATTTGTTTCCGTCTTCCAGTCAAGAGCAATGCTGGTGCTATTGTGGCTGTGTGGGCTCCAATAATAGTTGTAAGTTTCTGTTGGAATATCTAGAGGTTTCCTTTCAATGTTCAGTCTTCAGGATTATGAGCTCAACTGGTGCTCACATTTGTTGCTAAAGTTTTAAGGCTGACAACAACTTGAATTGCTTCATATAGTTGGGCAAATAAGCTTTTCAGATCATTGACCTTTTTGTGACAGTTTGATTAGTCCTCTGTCATCCATCTATGAAATTTGGAATTGTCTCAGGTATATTTCATGGATACACAGATTTGGTACTCCGTTTTCTGTACTATCTTTGGTGGAGTTTATGGCATCTTGCATCATCTTGGTGAGGTAAAAGTGTTGCTTTTTTTAAAAAAAAAAAATTTCTCTTTCCTGGGCTGCCCATTTTA